GGGGACGGGGAGAGGGGGAGAGGGTCAGGCCTGGGCGCCCTCAGCCAGCTGCTCTCACCTCTGGGCCCAGGGAGTGTGATTCACGGGGACTGGCCAAGCGGGGCCTGGCTCCCAGGGCCCGTGGGAATAAGCTGCTCCAGAAATGAACCGTGGCAGGGCCGTCGGCTCGGCCGGGCCGCAGGGTCACCAGCCTCCAGGGCCGGCCTGGACTCCCCAGGCACCGCAGACTCGCCAACGGAAGATTCTGTCGTGCGATGAAACCTCCAGGAATGCGTCCAGCCAGACCCGGCGACTCCCCTGCGCAGGGGCAGGGCGATTGCCCAAGGGGCCTGGGGCAGCGAGCTGGGCTCCCGGGGCTGCTCTGTCGCCTGCAGGCCGCGTGCATTATCCCGAGCCAGGGCTCGCTGCTTCGCCAGGCTGGCCCCGCCCGGGCTGGAAGCTCCTTTTCCTGGCGTGATCCCGGGAGACGCGGGCTGCTCTCCTCAGCACAGTCCCTGGCGGCTGAGGGATTATTTCATCTCAGCTTCAATCAGCCCAGGGCCCCAGAGACTTACGGAGCAGCTGGGGCCTTCCCAGCCTCCGGCAGCCCCAGCTACTGTGTGTGGCAGAGCCTGGAGAATAAGGTCTGATCTCAGCCTCCTCCAGCCAAGCAGCCCGGCTCCGTTCACGCCAGCAGAGGCCTCTGCCCCTCTGCAACCCCGAGCCCACAGCTCCACTCCCCTGCCCCACCCCGCACCTGCTCCGCCCAGAGGGAAGCTGCTGCTCCCACCCTCTTCTGGCCCCGCTGGGGGCACAGGATAAGGGGGCCAGCGCCTCTCCGGGGCTGGCAGTCATTGCAGGGGCTCAGGCGGACACTGGCTGCCCCTCCCGAGAGCGTCCTGGAGCAAGGGGCTGTTCTGCGCTGCTGGGAATTCACTGGGGGAGGCAGCCCCTTGGCACCGGCAGCACAGGGGTTAATTCCCCGCTGGGACTGCACCCTGGCTCTATCCTCAGTTGGAATTTGATGCCTTGGCGCAGGGCATGTACGCACACTCACGCACACTCACACACGCACACGCACGCACATGCCCTGCTCAAGGCCACTGCACTGTTGCCAGCACTCGCCTGAGCTCCAAGCCTCCAGCCCCAGGTCCCTGAGCCCTGCCCTGGGTGGCGCTCGGAGCCAGTGTTCCCTGGAAGCTGAGCGCTTGGGCAGCCGCCCAGGAGTGATTCTGGTGCCACCCAGCTGATTAGCAGCGCGCCCACAGCTCCACTGCTGCCAGCTTGTGTTTCTACTGGTGGTGCACATCAGTGCACGTCTCAGCGCACAGAACACAAGTTTTCCCACCCATGGCTGGAAAAAATTAGAGGCAACTCTGCTCGGAGCCCGGCCAGTCCTGCTCCCGTCCTCAATGCTGATCTCCAGCCTATGCAGGAAGGGCCGTTCCGGGGTCCTCTGGGCAGATCTCTGCTCTCCACCCTGGCTGGAGGCGGCTCTTGCTAGAAGCTGAACATGGAAACAGCTGCCTGGCTGCCTCGGGGCCGGTGGGAAACGATTTGCCATCAAAGAGCCACCCAAAGGGGAACAACGGGTCTCTTTGATCTGGCTGCAGCTGGGTTCAGTCTGCGGGGGGTTCCCAGAATGAAAGCGAGGGCCCAGCGGGCCGGGTGGCAGCGTTTCACGGGGGAGCCCGGTGGGAGCACCGGACAGTCCACAGGAAATGGGATTTACGGTTTCTTACACACTCAGAGGCAAGAAGGAGAAGAGACGAATTGGTTGGTTTCATGCACAGGCCTGGCCTAGCTGGGAATCGTTAGCCAGAGAAGGCCTAGGGACCGACACGGCTGGAACAGCCCCCCATGGGACAGATGATGGAGCGCAGCAACGTTAGCCACACGGCTCTGCCCCCTTGCCGCCTGCCAAGGAGCCTGCTCAGCCCTCTCAGCATGCCAGGATGACAAGGGGAGGGCTTAGTGAGCAGAGGCCTTGCACTGGGGAGCTGGGTTCATTCCTGGCTCCTTGGAGGGTTTACACCGTTTCTGTCGGCTCAGCACAGCCGCTAGCTGGGCACAGTGCACAGGTGCCTTGCACCAGGACAGCCTCTTCCCCTTTCCACCGAGGATCCATGGAACCGGCGTGAAACACCTGCAGGCTGGCAGGGCTGCAGCCGCGCTTGTCATTGGAGCAGAGAAACAAGGTGGCCACTTTCTGTCCATTCCTGGGGCCCTGTCTCCGTAGCGTTTCAGCTGCACGCGAGCGCGACTAGGCTTGGTGCAGGCCGGGCCTCTGGGCTGAGCCATGCCTCAGGAATCTGCCAGCCCGAGTGTCGCCAGGGCTGGCAAGAGTGCGGAGAAATCGGTCGGGGCCCTGCCCTTCTCTCCTCTCCTCAGCTTCGTGTTGCTGGCGCCTTCCTGGCAGGGGAGCCCAAAGGTCCAGCATTCGCCCCGACGGCCCCCAGCTGAGGAGGGATTGTGTGAGAAGCCTTCTGTTGCTCAGAGCTGGAGCAGGGGAACGGGGCTAGTGCCATGGGTCGGGGGCTACTCCAGCTGGGCCGGGCAGGGTCTGGCACACAACGCTGCCGGGCGCCAGTTAACCAGCTACCAGCCAGCACCACCCGGGACGGGCGATTCTTACTGGGGAACTGGTTGGCTTCCCTAGAACACCCAGACATAGGTAGGGTCCAGAGCAGTCCTGGCTGGGGCCGGCCCACAACATTTTGGCACTTGAGGCTCAAATGATGCCTCCATGCCCCCTGGCTTGGGCCAAAACTTTGAAAGGTCCCAACTCTGCCTCCTGCCTGTTCTGTCTCTTGTGCCCTCCTCCCTCCACACAGCGCCCCCAGCTCTGCGCATCTAGCGCAGCGAGAATCCATCTGCACCAGCAGCGACACAATTTTCGACACTCTGGGTCCTAGTGGCCCCCCCACACAGTCTGGCACCTCGCGGCCCTGCGCCCGGGTACCCGGCCCCTCTGGGAACCCCTGGAGAGGGACACGCACAATCTGACCATCTCGTGGTGGGTGCGTAGCTGTCCGGCCTGAAACTGCTGCTCCCCTGTCGTGCTCGGAAGCTCAGTTCTGCAAGTGGAAGGGCCCCTCGTGCCACCCAGCCGCCACGAGAAGGGGGCCTGGGCTCCAGGGTGGGGTGGGCAGAGGACGTGGCCCCCTTGCACTTGGCTGGCCAAGGTCAGCCCCAGGCGTGGGGTAGGTTGACTTGCTCCAGGGAGGCACAGAGGATCTGCTTGCAAAGAGCAGCCTGGGTGTAAACGCCCACCTCTTTCTGCAGCTCGTCGCTGGCGGAAGGAAGGGGGAACCCTGGTGGCAGCCAGCTCACGGGGAAAGGTCACGGAGCTGTTTGTTCTCAAAGGGGCTCAGACGTTCCCCTCGTCCTGGGCTCTGTGTGTGTGGGCGGGGCGGGTTGTGTGCTGAGGAACACAGTGTGTGTGTGTGTGGGCGGGGCGGGGTGTGTGCTGAGGAACACAGGGCGTGTGTGTGAGCGGGGC